TTAACTGAGTTTCTCGCTGATGTATTCTTTGATGTACAGTAAGGCTTGAGCTACTCCTAAAGGCTTTTGCACATTCATTACATTTATAAGGTTTTTCTCCTGTGTGCATCCTCAGATGTACAGTAAAGTCTGAATTAGTTCTAAAGGCTTTCCCACATTCTTCACACCTATAGGGCCTCTCCCCAGTATGAATCCTCTGATGCAGAGTTAGCTGTGATAGAGTAATACAACCTTTTCCACATTCCTTACATGTGTAGGGTTTTTCTCCAGTATGTGTTCTCCAATGCACTGTAAGGTACGAACCCCTCCTGAAGGCTTTTCCACAGACATCACATTTATAGGGTTTCTCTCCACTATGGATTTTCTGATGTTCTGTGACATGTACCATCTGGCTAAATGCTTTGCCACAGTCATTACATTTAAATGGTTTCTCCCCAGTATATGTCCTTTGATGAGTATTAAAGCCTGAGTTACTTGTGAAAACCTTCCCACATTCATTACATTTATAGGGTTTTTCTCCAGTATGCCTTCTTTGGTGGACAGTAAGCTGTGATGTGTTAGTGAAAGCTTTCTCACACTCATTACATTTGTATGGTTTTTCTCCAGTATGGGTCCTCTGATGTACAATAAGGTATGACTTAGTCCTGAAGGATTTTCCACAATCATAGCAGTTGTAGGGTTTCACACCAGTATGAATTTTCTGATGCTCTTTGAGATTTACCATTTTGGTAAATGCCCTCTCACAGTCAGTACACTTATATGGTTTCTCCCCAGTATGAATCCTCTGATGTACAGTTAAGTGTGATTTTATTCTGAAAGATTCCCCACATTCATTACAGAGATAAGGTTTCTCTTCAGTATGAATTTGCTGATGTATAATTAGAGATGAAGAACGCATGAAGGCCTTTCCACATTCGTTACATTCATATGGTTTCTCTCCTGTATGCATTCTGTGGTGTACAGTAAGACATGAATAATTAATGAATGCTTTCCCACATTCATTACATTTATAGGGTTTTTCTCCTGTGTGAATCCTCTGATGTTCTGTGAAATTTGCTATACGATTGAAAGCTTTCCCACATTCATTACATTCATAGGGTTTTTCCCCAGTATGAGTTCTTATATGTACAATAAGGCTTGAATTACTTCTATAGGCTTTTCCACATTCATTACATCTAAAGGGTTTCTCTCCAGTATGAATTCTCTGATGAACATTAAAAATTGTGGTATTCTTGAAAGATTTCCCACACTCATTGCATTTATATGGTTTCTCCTCAGTATGGGTCTTCTGATGTACACTAAGATATGACTTATTCCTAAAAGCTTTCCCACAATCATTACATTTGTAGGGTTTCTCTCCATTGTGAGTTTCCTGATGTCGTGCAAGTTTTGATTTATCACTAAAAGCTTTCCCACACTCGCTACATTTACAGGGCTTCTCTCCAGTTTGAATTCTCTGGTGTTGATTAAGGTGGGCACACTGGCTAAAAGATTTTCCACAGACATTGCACTGATAAGGTTTCTCCTTAGTATGAATTCTCTGATGTACCATAAGTGATGAAGAGGCAATGAAGGCCTTTCCACATTCATTACATTTATAGGGTTTTTCTCCAGTGTGGATTTTTTTATGTTGACTAAGATATGAAGGCTGGCTGAACATTTTCCCACATTCACTACATTCATAAGGTTTTTCTTTAGTGTGAGTTCTCTGATGTTGAATGAGTAATGACCTGTAACGGAAGGCCTTTTCACATGTACTACACGTGTAGGGTTTTGCTTTATTACTGGTCTTTTCCCCTAAAGTGAGTTCTGAAGCAGGGCTTACAACTTTGCTGCCTTCTGTATCCTTGAAAATTTTCACCCCCAAATGGGTATCTGTAATCAAATCTAAATTACTCATAAATTTTTCCTCACTTATTTGGTATTTGCTGTGGGGTTCTTCTGTGACACCTCCTGGTTCTGGAAAGAGAACAGATTCAAATCTAAAGCCTTTCTGAATAGTGGGAATTTTCTTGTGCGTAATTATTCTTTGACTCAAATGACTCTCCTGACTATTTTGCAATCTCAATACCCTGTCGTTCCATTTCCATAATCCTCCAATTCTGGTGTCGCATAGACCATTCTCTGTCAGTTTCTCTCCTATGGTCTCCAGTGGTAAGTGTTCTTCGGACACATCCTCTGTTGGAATAGCATTCTTGGTTATAGGTTTGGTCTCCAACTCTGGGAGGGAAAAAAAAATTCAAATGACTTCTATTTCCTAAGTTGAGGAGACCTCACTAAATAGGATAACAAAAGGGAAGCCTGAGTTGATAATACAGGTTTTTAACTGCTTGCAAATTGGCTTTGTTTTCTAGGAAGAAGGAGGCAGGGTTAAGGAAGTCTGGTTGAGCAAAGAACCAGAGTAGTAAATTCAAGGAGTTTTTTTCCTATTAAAAAATTTCATTCGTGGTAATTCTTCTACCATCTAAATATTTTTCCCCTTTCTCAAATATTTCTCCCTTTTCTCATTCTTTTAGAGTCAACTTCTTTAGAGAGCATTCTTCATAAGTTGCGATTACTTCCTTGCTTCCCATTTACTCCACAAACCAAACATTCATCCCCAACGATACTTCCTATTTGTTCTCATTCTTTGTTCACTAGCTTTTCTGTGAGCGCTTTCTCAAATGTCCCTGCCAGAGTAGTTTTTTTCAAGTCTTTGTATATACTTTTTTATAGAACATTTATAGAATAAGACACTTTGATTTTTAATAAATAGGTTGAATAAGCTAGCCAGAATTAACATACTTGTGAATATTACAAATAGTGATTATGATTATCAAGGGTAGTTTTGCAACCCCTTAATGGATCTTAAGAACATTTCTGACAGTTTGAAAATTTTCTTAAAAATTATACTGTGGGATGGTGGTCTTACAACTTGTTTATACATGCAACTTAA